AAAGTAAAGATTTCTCCAAAATCAGACTTGTTCGTTATTCAGTACAAAGACCTGTGGTTTCATGATTCCTCTTCTCTCCTAATTGGGTAAGGAACAGGAGTTCGGGCCAATTTCCCCGGGATTGGTGGAAGGGATAGGCATAGATCCCACCAGGGCTTGGGAAATGTCCTATGTCAGTTCACAGACCCCTCCAGCAATGATGGGCTCCACCCTGTATCTGCATTTGGTGGATTGGTAACTGCTGGAGATTGAACATAGCTAGGTGTGAGAGATAAGCTTCACTCATTACTCTCATGTTTAAGTGTAGGTGAGAGCTAAAAGGTCACCCAATCAGTAAATGACTACGTGTTCTGTTGAGAAGGAACACACAGGGACTATTTTCACTCTTCTGGAAACCATGATTAGAACATTCAAGAAGAAGGTCAAGGCACTAAACCAGACCTGGCAAGAAGGAGGACCAAAGCCCTGCTCAGAATGCCCGGAGAGTCCCTGCTAGAGCCTTGGGCCAGAACCTGTCCTTGGCCTTGGTCCTAACTGGCTTCCCTGTGGGTAAGAGAACTGTCTGGGGATTCCCCATCATTCAAGAGCTCTTTGAGTGACCCCCTTTCAGCCCCTCCAGTAGGGAATTTCCCAGAATGTTCCCACACCCCCATGAAGCCTCTTCCTTAACCACCCCCAAGCTGCTTGTAGTTCATGATAGAGTTGGCATCAAGTAACTTCAGAGGTGAGGGTGAATTGTGAACATTACCGTCTGGATTTGCAAGAGGTGGGAAAAGAGGGAAGATGAAATTGGAAAGCCAACAGGGCTGAGGCCTCCCGGGAGATAATTACCAAACATCATAAGATTTAAACAAATGTCAAAGACAAGAGAATACGGTGGACACAGACTCTGAAGCCAGACTGCCTCATTCAAGTTGTGGTGCTGCCACTGCAAGATGTGTGACCTTGAACAGGTTACTTAACTTCCCTGTACTTTTGGGTTGTCCTCTTCTGTAAAGTGTGGATAATCATATTATCTACCACATAGGGTTGTTGCAAAGATTAAATATAAAAATAACTGTAAAATACTTAAAAGAGTGATTGGCATATGGTGGCATTTAATAAATGTTAGTTATTAAGTCAAGCGAGACTATTCTTTTAAAAATTTAGTTTCTACTAATTTTTTTATATAAATTTATATAAATTTTTTTTTATAGACTTTAAAAAGTCTACATCCCTCTGCCCCCAACAACCTTCCCCCTGACACTCACGCACATCCCTTCCTAACAAGTGGGGGTTAAAGGCTAATACACTCAAGTATTTAGTTCGGAATCTGAAATATTCGAGAGTTGAAGAGGGCTTGGAGATTTTCTAAGCTAATGGTTCCTTCTAGTGTTTTTCAATATTCGCTGCACATTAGGATCCCCTGGGAGCCTTTACCAGCCCAGTGCCAGGCTGCACCCCAGACTGCTTAAATCAGAATCAGGCACCAGTTTTGGTAAAGCTCCCCAGGGAATCCCACTAATTCCAATGTGTGGCCAAGGTTGAGAATCCTTGTTGTGGTCCAGTCTTCCTGTTCTAACAGGAACTGGGGCTCAGAGAGGGGAAAGCGAGTCACAGAGGCTCACCTAGCCAGGACCCCGGTCCCCAGTTACTGCTGATGGAGCCCACCATTGCCATGTGTTTCTGGACCTCACTCTGCATGTGGAGGAAGGCCTGGCCTTGAGTGAGCCCTCTAAAAGAGTAGCTGGACAGAAGATATCCTCCCAACTCTGGGAAGGAGGCAGATGATCAGCTCTGTGATTGGAAGAGTGTGACCAACTCGGGGTTCCAGTGTGGTGTGTAAAGATCACCAAAATCGAGACCCAGTGTTCTCTTGGGATACTTATAGGGCAGCCGAGGACTTCTTAGTGATCTCTGAAGACCTTTGCTTACTTGAGTCATCTGTCTCTCGGGGGGAGCATTGGGTGTGCCAGAAGAAGAATGAGGCTGAAGATGGGGAAGCCTTGAGCCGAACCCTGCTCTGCCCCTATGTGGTTATGGGGCTTTGGGTCAATCGCTAAAGTGTCTGGACCTCTGAGAAAATCAATGTCTTGAGGCAAATTCCAAAGCCCTCTCTCCCAGCACTTGCTGCCACCAGCCTATGATCATTTTGAGGGGTATTTGGGGTAGGTTTGTCAGTTGGCCTCATCTGAAAAGTGGGGATAATGGTAAGGGCTGGCCTCCCATGTCCATCTCAGGGGGTTACCGTGAGGAGCCTGAAGGACCGAAAGGAATTCTAAAAAGTGGAAAACAGGTCACACAGAAGCCCAAATGCTGGCTTACTGCTCCCTGACTGTAGCAGAGGATGTGTGTGTGAGAGGCCAAAATTCCCTTCCCAAACATTTCTCTCCCCTCCCCGCTCACTGAGCCCTAGGTTTCCAGCCACCCCTGGGAAGTGAAGGGAAGTCAGGGGGTGTGGTCATTATACCTCTGAGTAAGCAGCTGCCCCCGTGGCCGCTTTGGCCAGTTGTCCCCGTGTGAGTCCTTTCTGGGGCATGACTGCCCCAGGGAGGGTCAGAGTGGACTGAGCAGTGGCAGGTGGGGACATGTTGGGAGGAGGCCCCAGATCAGCCACTTCCTCCTGCAAGGGAAGTCAAACTCTTCCTCTTGCCAGTGTCTGGCTGGCTGCATGGTCCCTGGGTTGCCAGGGCTGGTCGCTCTGGGGCCCTAGCAGGAAGCCGTCTTGCTTCCCAAGGTAAAGACGAGTTTCTTGTCACAGGTGGTGGTTTTCTGGTTAGAGGCAGCTGTGGTTGTGAACCCCCTCCCAGAGCCCTGGGATCTGTAAGCGGGGAGGGGGGCGGTGGGGGGGCGGGTGAGCGGGGAGAGAAAGCTAGAGAGAGCTCAGCAGAGCTTGCTTGGGGAGGAAGAACCTGCTGTCACTTCCCGAAAGCTGGGCCTGCCTCTAGGCGGGGAGAAGGTCAGAGCGGTTGGTCCCTGTGGCCCGCCTCCCCCACCCCTCCCTTCTGCCTCGGGGTTTGCCCAGGCTCTTCGGAGCACAGAATTTACAGTAAACGTTGTCACCAGTGGAAACTCTCAGAGGGGGCGAGGAAAAGGGCTAGAGGAAGGGGCCAGGACTCCCGGCCCCCAGTTCCCGTCTTAAACCCCCCCCCACACACACACCCAGTCTCATGGGTTGCTTTCTCTTACCTTTCGGTAAAGAGGGGATGCCCTGCCTCTGGGATGTGCCTGGAAACAACCAAATGGTGAGATAAGGGAGCCAGCCATACCTTGCAGAAGAAGAAGCCAGTGCCTCTGACGCCACCATCGTGGGTCCCACCCACCCCAGCCCCATTTTAGAAATGGGGGTTTCTTTTGTACTGACCTAGGCACATTTTCTAGCTCAAAGCCACATACAGGAAATGCCAGGCTGGGGCTGAGCGTGCTTGCATCTGTCCTTCACAAGGGGATGGAAGCTGGCCTGATGGGTAAGGCCGCAGTCATACGCTCCTCTACCCCTTAAAAAAGAACCCTGGGGTTCACGGATTAGGGCAGTCGGCAGCGTACCTAGCTCTCTCGTTGGACCACAGCTCATGCTCCCGAGGGGTTATGTAAGGCACCTCTTAAATGGCAAGTTATCTTACGTCTGCTCACTGCCCACCATGGTTTTGAGTCAACTGCTCGTCCAGCAATCGGTGTCATCAGCCAATCAAGAGACATTTGAGATCATACTATGTGCCAGGCACTTAACAAATAGGCACTTAGTAGTGCTTGACTAATTGAAAACCAATGTAATATTGTGTTTAACTTGTGTTTTCTAACTTGCCTGATCATTAGAATGACCTGGGGCACTTGTTAAATATTCAGTGAATTCCCAGATTTCACCCCAAATCCCAAACCCGCTGAGTTAAAATCTCTAGATTTCAGGAACAGCCTGAAACTCTAATAAAGCCCTCCAACTAATTCTAATGCTATGGCAAGTTTGGGAAATGCTGACCTAAGTCAAACAAAACTAGAAAAATTAAGGCCTGGATGCCAACTCAGGTTGCTTTTTGAACTGAAGCGTAATTTATTTGCCTCTCCAATGCCATTTTCCCTTCCTCTGTGGCACCAGTGATTAGATTAGTCGATCTATTTGATTGACTCAAGGAACGTGAACCTTCAAATCACATTGGAAATGCAATTCCCCTAGGTAGCACTGTTTTCCAGTAACCGCTAATTACCAGAGTGGGATTGTTGATTAATTAATGATGTGATCAGTAATCGGCACCCTTTGACCCAGAGTTTGCTTGATTAGCATGTATCTGATGGTGCTCCTAAGCAACAGGGGAAAGGTGTTTCTGGAAAAAAGCACATACGCATGGGTGGAACACGCCCAGAGTGCTGTAAACCAGGCTCTCGAGTGAGCAGAATGGCGTGGAATTGAACCTTGTGGTGGATTTTGACCACTTGATATTTATAAAGATCCTAGTGTTCTAGAACCTGGTTAAGTAGACAGTTAACCGTGGACTCCATATGACTAAAAGCAGACACTGGGAACATTTGGAGAACTCGTGGTATAAGATCAAGTGGAAAAGCATGAAATTAGTATAAACAGTTCTCTCAAACTCTTTTCCATTTTTTCAGGCTCTCACCTGTCAGCCTGTTTCCCTTAACATACACTTGCCACTCTCAACCCACATACACATTCCCAGAGACCCACGTACACACGCACACAAAGGACCACGCTCCCATGCATTCCCACATACACCTCTATCAGGTGCGATCATACGAAACTGCCATCCTTATAGGTCAAACGGACAAATACCAGCAATTTTATGGGTTCAACCTTGTATCTATGCACACACATATGTGTATTATAAATGCACCCACACTCACATATGACACACACAAATACATGTACACACATGTGCAGAAAAATTCACTGATGCCCCTCCCCACAGCTGTGCTGGTGAGAACCGAATCTGTCTCCTCCTGCCCCCCACTCCCCATCCCATTTCCTCCTTGACAGTTATCTCTGATTCTGACCTTTCCCCTCACAGGAGAGTGAAGACCTAGAGAAACAGAACGCTGCTCTGCGCAAGGAGATCAAGCAGCTCACAGAAGAGATGAAGTATTTCACGTCGGTGCTGAGCAGCCATGAGCCCCTGTGTTCGGTGCTGGCCGCCAGCACGCCCTCGCCCCCTGACGTGGTGTACAGCGCCCACGCCTTCCACCAGCCTCACGTCAGCTCGCCTCGCTTCCAGCCCTGACTTTCCAGAGGTGGCGTGGTGGGGGACGGAGCCCCCTGCCCCCAGCTGCCCTGGCAGGCCTCAGGAGGGGCACACAGACTGTGGCCAGGCTGCCCTCGCCCCTCAGGGCCCCCTCTCCATCCGGAGACCCGGAGGCAGAGGCCTGGACAAGGATTGAGCACAAGACTGGAGCAGCGGGGAGTGTGGGAGGCCACCCAGCGGCGTGGCCGCCTGTCAGCATGTGCTGAGCCCCCATGTGGATGGGAGGCCCAATTCAGAGTTCAATCAAACATGATGCCCAAGTCCCACGGTATAGAGGGAGGAGGGTGGGGTGGGGTTATTTTTCTAAATAAATTTCTTAAAAGAAACCAGCTTGGCAAACGGTTTTCCTTTTTTACACAGTTCCTTGAAACCCTAAGTTCTGTGGGGTCAGCACCTTCTTTTGTCCTTGGTCTCAAGAGTCCTTAAAGCTCTGGAGACTGCTAATATCTCTTCTTTTCCATGGTTTGTTAACCTACTTGGGAAGCCGGGTCTTTTCAAAGCATCTTCGGTCCTCCCGGTAGGCATCTTCTTGGTTTCCTCCCCCAGTCACCTCACCCTGACCTCCCACTTTCTATTCCTCACCACCTCATCCTTCCTGGATTGTCAGCAGGCCGTGCTCCAGACACGGGGAAGGACCAGAGTGAGATGCCATTCAGAGGAGGGGTCACTTGGGTTGATACTACCACCTATACAACTATGCTCACTCAGCTCCGCCCGAACAGCCAGCCCTGGATCCTGCTCCGTGCCAGGCCCCGTGCACGGTGTTCCAGTGACCCGACGGCAACACAAGGGAGGCACTACCTCATGCTCTCACGAGGCAGCCTGTGGCTTGTGTCCATGGGGACTTTCCTGCTAATGGGCCTACATGTCCCGTTAAAGACCCTACCTGCCTTGGGAAGCTGTGACAAAGCACACAGGACTTTGCCTGTCTCCACTGGGCTCCACAGCTGCCATTTTGAGCACAGTTTGAGGGCGGAAATGCCTTGTCAACACAGGCTGGTCTTCTGGTCTTCGGATTCACTAGCTTTGGCAGAGCCTAAACCCAGTGTGTTCTGGTTCCCCTGCTCCAACGTCCACCTGCTCCTCACAGGGGCCTAGGCCGAGTGCCCAGTGGCCTGCACAACACACACAGCCTCACCCCACAGCGGGGCCTGCCCACACCAACAGCCTCCACTGAGTCAGCTGGGGACAAAAGTGACAGGGAGGTGTCTGGTTCAGCCCCTTCCACAGCTACTTCAAACTCATCCCTTGGTCCTTCAGAGGGACTGCCCCTGTCCACGGTCTCCGTGTAGGCACCTGTCTTGGGATGTGATGACCACAGGGAGAGAGAGGAGCAGTTCTATTTCCCTGGGCCAACTCCTCCTCAACCTGCCAGGCCGACAGCGGTGGTTGGTTTGACGCAAGGTCTCAACTCCGAGCCTCCCCTGCCCAAGTCTCTCCTGCCCCGCTGGGATCATGCCGGTGTTGGGCTAGTGTGACTACTGACCTCTGCAGAGGTCTGCAAAAACCGTGTCCCAGCATGTGGCCACCTGACCTTCTTGTAGCCTGTCTATGGGAGGAGTCCAACCCAAGGGCCTCTGAGGGCACATTGCCACCAGTGGGCCCCCCAACCCTGAAGCTGATGCCCGTGGATGCCCAGAGTGTGGGCACTGCACTCAGAACCTGCTGGAGAATGCTCAGAAGACCTTCCCCAAATATCAGCATCGCTTCTGATGCAGAATCTGACATTTTAACCTTCCGTCTCCTAACATACTTGGTAAATGGGGCTTCCTCTTCCTGCAGGGGCTCAGTGTGGACTGGGGTGTGTGATGCGGGGCTGCAGTGAGAAGGACCCTTCTCACCAGTTTCCTCAGGGCCTGGGCAGAGCAAAGAAGCCAGGGGTGGCTCCAGATGTTACAGGCACTGAATAGAATTCATTTGTCTTTCACAGTCTTAGGAAGCAGAACTTAAGGCCCTGCTTTCTTTACAGCCAGCTCCACGAAGGCCCATCCTCTCAAGGGAGGCTGGGGCAGGCTTCCTTCCAATCAGAGATTTTCCTCCCCACCCCTCTCCAGCACTGTGATTTTCCCCCAGAAACCCCCGCAGAAGGCACATGACCTGTGCTGGGCATCTACTGAGTGACACTCGGGGCCGAACTAGAAATGCAGGGCTCACGTGCGTGGTTCCCATCTCTCGACAAGGACTGCTCTTCCTCTTTCATTCTCTACTTTCTAATGACCCTGGGCAGTTCCACTTCTCCTTTCTGGTCAGTCTGGTAGAGAAAGCATCAGGCTGAGCCTAGGGTGAGTGCTAGTGCTAACTTCATCTCCACACAGGAACATTGGAGGGGCAGCTATGAATACACTTGAACTTCCAGAGCTCTGACCATGGAGGTCCCCCCACTGCTTGGTCCCAGCCTCCTAGCCCTGACAGGGATCGCTCCCTCAGGCCGGTGGGCCACAGACCCACACTTAAATGCCTCCAGGGCTCAGGCAGCCACTGTAAATACCTGAAGCTCACCAGAGGTAGGGCAGTTGGGAGTGGTGGGGAGTGTGGCAAACTGAGGAGTGAGCGCTTATGTGCCTAAAGCAGGCAGCTGCCCCTCAGGTCTGTCCCATGCTGCCATGTGGGAGTGCGGGCCCAGTGCTGCCATATCTTCCAATGTGTCAAGAAAAGCCCAAATCAGAATTTATACATGAAATCTCCCAATTTTCAAAACACTCTTCAGACCAAACAAAATATATTTGTGGAGCAGGTTGGCCCCTGGCAATTTGCAGGGCCTGGGGCAAGAGTGCAAACAGAGGCCACGTACCATGTGTCTAAATATTTACACATTATAAATCAAGCTTACAAAATATATTAAATATGTCAAGCAAAATATGCTCTTTTGTCCTACAAATATATCTGCATGACAACCTGGAAGGTGAAGTTTGAATTTAGACTTCTCAGATGCTTCAGAATTTTGTGTTAGCACGAGGAAGCACAGGGACAAACAGCTCCAAGACTGCAGCTTGTCCTCTCTTGTCCCTCCCCTGGCTCCTCCTCCGCGGCTTCATGTTCCTGCTGGTGCACATACCAGCCTGCTAGGCTGGGCTCCATCTATACCCCTCCCCCACATACAGCCATCCCTTGGCCACCCTGGTGTCCAGGGGTATATGCGCCAGACCAGTGGTCTGGTCTACCCTGAAGAAGAAGTATCCAGGGAAGAGGGTTACAGCTCCTGGAAGCCAGCTTAGGGTCACCCAGAACGGGGATTCTGGGATTTCCTGGGTATATGGAGCATGCTTTAAAAGGGGACAGAGGGGGGCACCTGGGCGGCTCAGTTGGTTGAGCATCTGACTCTTGATTTCAGCTCAGGTTATGATCTCAGGATCATGAGATCAAGCCCCACGTCCGGCTCCATGCTCAGCACAGAGTCTGCTTGAGATTCTCTCTCTTGGGGCACCTGGGTGGCTCAGTCGTTAAACGTCTGCCTTCGGCTCAGGTCATGATCCCAGGGTCCTGGGATCGAGCCCCGCATCGGGCTCCCTGCTCCGCAGGAAGCTTGCTTCTCCCTCTCCCACTCCCTCTGCTTGTGTTCCCTCTCTCATTGCGTCTCTCTCTCTCTCTGTCAGATAAATAAAAAAATAATCTTAAAAAAAAAAGAGAGAGAAATTCTCTCTCTCCCTCCCTCTGCCCCTCCTCCTGCTCTCTTTCTTTCTCTCTCTTTAAAATAAGTAAATAAAATCTTTAAAAAACAAAAGGGGACAGAGAGCCCTGGGTAGGCATGACCCCTTGGGTCTAAGGACTCCTTGCCCTGTGGGACAGGGTCTAAGAGGAGGACCAGCGCCAGTTCCCATAATGTGGGGAGAAGACAATAAGGACCTCTTCCGCCCAGGGCTGAGGTGACACTGCGGAGGTCTGCCCGTTGTAACTCTGATCTTGGTCAGTGAAGTCGCCCCAGAAAGCCCAGGCTCAGGCAAAGCTCTGTGCAGCAAGAAACGGGCACATGACAGCATCGTCATTATCTGTGACTTTGAGGTGAGGGTTCCCGGGGAAGGTTTATTTCCCCACCTGCCACCCTCTGTGTCTGTCTCTTACTAGCAGTGTTATTCCCTGTTAGTGTCAAAGCAAATTACAGGAAAGCCAGATTTTTAGTCTTCAGGTTGAGAAGTGTGGGTGGGGAGAGAAAGGGAGGCAAAGTCAACTGAAAGTTCATGGGGTTGCCATCTGCTGGACCCAAACTTACCAGCATTGTTTATTAATACCTCCAACCAAAGTCCCAATGTGGCCACAGCTTTACAGTAAAGGAGGTGAGGCGGCTGGGCGCCCCACTTCTTTTCAGGACAGATGTGCTCCCTCTCTGTGCTCCCCTAGCCTCCTTCCCCTCACAAGTTTCAGTGTCCGGAATCCCTGCTGCTCAGGAATTCCAAGGGCGGGGAAAGGGCTCCTGAACTAAGACCAACACTAAGGGGGTGGATTAAATCATCTTTTCTCTCTGCCGGAGAGGACCGAGAGGACCGGCATTTTTAAGAGACACCCAGAAAGAGGGATGCTTGACAGAAAAGAGTGAGTGCCTAATGGTGGCTTTTGAAGCAAGTGTGTAGAGCAGATATTTAATGGAATTGCTGCCATGTGGATGACCAGGTACTGCACTGGCCTTGCAGGGGTCCCAGGGAAACAGGAAATGAGGGTAAGAAGGGACCATCCCTCTTAAAAACCTTGTTTTTCAACTGCTCGATAGATCATTGAGTTCATTTACTTGCAGGAAAATAGAATAAAAACAATCTTGGCTTAAAGACTCTACCAGCAGGCAGAGATAAGAAGTTTGCTCTCAGAGGAATTAATTAGGGACATTTTCACAGGCAAATTCCATTGCTGCCTGAGAGTCTGGCTGGCTCCTTCTGGAAGAGTACTGGTGAGACACTGCTGAACTTGTCACTATACCTAGAAACAAAGGTTAGGAGCAGTGGCAAGAACTGAAAATTGACCTCTCAAAGCCACTCTCCCCTTTTTCCTTATTACAG